CCCATGCAGGCATCAGAGATCAGAACAGAACAGACCTTAGCCCTGGGCTCCTGGAGAAACACGGGGCAGGGCAGTGCACAGCGACAGTCACACAGCCACCAAAAGCCGCGCCATGGCACCAGTGTGGCAGCTGATGCGGGGTGAGGCGTGGTAATGCCGACCCCACTGGCACCAACACGTCCTCACACAGCCCCCCTCGTTCACAGCCTGGGGCTCCGTTACCTGGAGCCAAGATGAAGATCTGAGGTTCTGCCCAGTGCCCTCGGGGAACGGGGCGTAGCTGATGGTCACGCACAGGAAGTGGCTAACCTTGTCCCAGGGGCAATAGCTCACACCCAAGGAACAACAGCTCTGTGGACGCCACTGGGTCATTTTGCGGTTGCAGAGGGGACAGACTCTGGAATCCATAGACTGTGCTCAAATCTCAACTCAGCTGTGCATTCTCTGTGTGACTGTCAGCGAGTCACTCCAAATTTGAGACTCAAGTCTCTTGATCTGTGAGGTGGGTAGGGATGACCCAAAGTGGAATCCATTGCATTGGAGGTGGGCAGGTGGCCAGACACCAGGGCGGCAGGCATGGCCACTTGCATCTGTGGCTGGGCTTTTCAGACCCTCTGTATCCACACTCCCTCCAGGTGAATCTGCGCTTCCCCTCAGGAGAGGCTGTGCTAGAGTAAAATCCAGGTAGTGAGCATAATACCTGATTGGTAGTTTTTCAGCCCTTGGCCCCTCCCTGCCTCCACCCCAGTAGGCCCCAGTGTCTGTTGTTCCTGTCTTTATGTCCATCTGTACACAATGCTTATGGTTCCGTTTGTAAGTGAGAACATGTGGTATTTGGTTTTCTGTTCCTGCATTAATTCACTTGGGATAATGGCCTCCAGCTGCATCCATGTTGCTGCAAGGAACATGATTTTTTCTTTTCTTGGCTATGTAGTATTCCATGGTGTATATGTACCACATTTTCTTTATCCAATCCACTATTGATGGGCCCCTCGGTTGATTCCATGTCTTTGCTATTGTGAATAGTGCTGTGACGAACACACGTGTTATGTGTCCTTTTGGTTGAAGGTTTTATTTTCCTTTGGGTCATACCCAGTAATGGGATTGCTGTGCTAAACGGTAACTGTTTTAAGTTCTTTGAGGAATCTCCAAACTGCTTGCTACAGTGGTTGAACTAATTTACATTCTACCAACAGTGTATAAAGTGTTCCCTTTTCTCTGTAGCCTCACCAGCATCTCTTGTTTTTTGACTAACAATAGCCATTCTTTATGGTGTGAGATGGTCCCTCATTGTGCTTTTGATTTGCATTTCTCTCATGGTAAGTGATGCTGAAATTTTTTCATGTTTATTGGCTGCTTCTGCGTCTTTTGACAAGTTGTCTGTTCATGTCTTTTGCCCACTTCTTAATGGGGTTGTTGCTTTTTGAATTGTTTGACTTCCTTATAGATTACGGATATTAGACTTTTGTTAGATGCACAGTTTGCAAACATTTTCTTCCATCCTGTAGGTTGTCTGTTTACACTGTTGATTGTGTGTGTGTGTGTGGGCGGGGGCGGGTGGCGGGTACAGAAGCTCTTTAGTTTAATTAGATCTCACCTGGCAATTTTTGTTTTTGTTGCAGTTGCCTTTCAGGACTTAGACATAAATTCTTTCCCAGGGCAGATGTTCAGAACAGCATTTTCCAGGAGTTCTCGAGGATTTTTATAGTTTAGGGTCTTACATTTAAACCTTTCATCCATCTTGCATCTATGTTCCTCAGGGATATTGGCCTGTCGTTTTCTTTTCCTGTTGTGTCTTTGCCAGGTTTTCGTATCAGGGTGAAGCTGGCCTTGCAGAATGAGTTAAGCAGGAGTCCCTCCTTGCCATTTTGGAATTAGTTTCAGTAGAACTGGTACCAGCTCTTCTCTGTGCATCTGGTAGAATCTGGTTGTGAATCCATCAGATTCCATTTAGGAATTCATAAGAACGAGAAGGGAAAAGTTTTACTAAAAAAGTTTATGAGCCGGGCGCGGTGGCTCACGCCTGTAATCCCAGCACTTTGGGAGGCCGAGGTGGGCGGATCACAAGGTCAGGAGATTGAGACCACGGTGAAACCCCGTTTCTACTAAAAATACAAAAAATTAGCCGGGCGCGGTGGCGGGGCCAACCCTGTAGTCCCAGCTCCACTCAGGGAGGGGCTGAGGCAGCTGGGAGAATGGCCGTGCAACCCGGGGGAGGCCGGAGCTTGCCAGGGGTGGAGCCCCGAAGATCGGCGGCCAACTGCACTCCAGCCCTGGTTGCGACAGAGGCCGAAGGACTCGTGGTCTCAAAAAAAAAAAAAAAAAAAAAAAAAAAGTTTATGGGGTGATCGCTGCGGTGCGCTCCACACCCTGTACAATCCCGAGCCGACTGCTTTGGGGATGGCCCGAGAAGCGGCGTGGATCACAGAGGGTCAGCGAGATCCGGGAGACCATCACGCCGTACACGGGTGAAACCCCGTCTCAATACAATAAACTAGGCCCGGCGAGTTTATCTTGGGTCGTGGCGGGCCGCCTGGTAGGGTCCGCGCACTCTGGGAGGCTGAGGCAGGCAGGAATGCGCAGGAACCCGGCCGGAGGCGGCGCGGAGTCTTGCAGCTGCAGCCTGAGGATCCAGCCACTGGCACTTCCAAGCCTGCTGGGTGACAGAGCCAGACTCTGTCTCTCAAAAAAAAAAAAAAAAAAAAAAAAAAAGTTTATGTGGTTCATTAGGCATTGCCAGAGGGAAAAAAATTGTAAAAAGAAAAGGCCAGCGTGGTGACTCACATTTGTAATCCTAGCACTTTGGGAGGCAGAGGCAGGCGGATCACTCGAGGTCAGGAGTTCCAAACCAGCCTGGACAACAAGCCGAAACCCCGTCTCTACCAAAAATACAAAAATTAGCCAGATGTGGTGGCGCGTGCCTGTAATCCCAGCTACTCAGGAGGCTGAGGCAGAATAATTACTTGAGCCCGGGAGGCAGAGGTTGCAGTGAGCTGAGATCACACCACTGCACTCCAGCCTGGTTGACAGAGTGAGACTCTGTCTTGAAAAAAATAAATAAATAAATAAATAATGGCCAGGCGCGGTGGCTCACACCTGTAATCCAGCACTTTGGGAGGCTGAGATGGGCGGATCACAAGGTCAGAAGATCAAGACCATCATGGCTAACACGGTGAAACTCTGTCTCTAATAAAAATACAAAAAATTAGCGGGGCATGGTGGCGGGCGCCTGTCGTCCCAGCTACTCGGGAGGCTGAGGCAGGAGAATGGCACGAACTTGGGAGGCAGAGGTTGCAGTGAGCCGAGACCGCACCACTGCACTCCAGCAGCCTGGGTGACAGAGCAAGACTCCATCTCAAAATAAATGAATAAATAAATAAATAAATAAAATAAAAAAGAATTAAAAACAAAGAAAACAAAGGCCTTATGGCTGGAGATGGCCACTTTGAACATGGTAAGGAAGTTCCTGTTGAGTTGGGCATCTGCTAAATGCCAGGCCTCAGAAATGATCTAGTTAATCCTCCCAGCAAACACCTCTTGGTGCACCTGCCCTGCTCTGTGGCATTAGAAAGGACGGGAGGGGGATGCCGTGTGGATCCATAAACACGAGAGATGGCATTTGCCCTGCTCTCGGCCTGTCCTGGAGACACAGCAGGCCTGCCCTTCTCCGGGGGCTGACAACTTCCTTTCCTTTGTAGTGACTTTCCTGTGATAACATCATTTCCCTGACGCCAGGCCCCAGGGCCAAGGTCCCAAGGGCGGGGCCTGTGTGCCTGATGATGCGGGTTGCCCAGCACCCTGCTGTCCCTGCTTAGCCTGGCATCTCCTGCTCTCGTCTGCTGTCCTGCCAGTTAGCTGCTGCTATGTAACAACCCATCCCCAAATGCAGGGACGTGTGCTTCCTCCCGAGTCAAGGGTTTGGCTGGGCTCAGCTGTGCCGGACTGGCTCTGCTCCATGTGCCTCTCATCCTCCTCCTGGGACCAAGGGACTGGCCACGAGTGTCCATCTCATGATGATGCTGGAGTGCAGCAGACTGGAGCACGCAGGCCTCTGGCCACCTAGGCTGGGAACTTGCTTTTCATCACTGCCGCTGCATTTCATTCAAGTCACAGTGCCAGTGGATTCCAGGGAGGGGAACCAGACGCCACCTCTTGGTGAAAGGAGCACGCGGGTAGGTTTGTTACACGGGTATATCAGCATTAAGCAACATACCCGTGTAACAAACCTACACGTGTACCTCCAGATCTAAAATAACAGTTGAAATTATCAATAAAATAATAATAGAAATAAATGGAGCCTGTGGCACTGGTGGAGGGCAGGTGGTGGCTCTGCTCAGGTGCTCACACGGGTGGGTCTGTTGCTTACTTGTGCCTGTGCTTTGAGAACTGGCGCAGCCTCGGCAGCCTCCAGTACAAGGCTCTTCCTCACAGGGCAGGTCCTTTCTCCTGCTTTCTTCTTGTCCAGAGACTTCTGGAAATGTTGCCTACATTTTTATTTTATTTATTTATTTATTTTTATTTTTATTTTTATTTTTTGTTTTTTTTTTTTTTTGAGATAGAGTCTCGCTCTGTCACCCAGGCTGGAGTGCAGTGGCCGGATCTCAGCTCACTGCAAGCTCCGCCTCCCGGGTTTACGCCATTCTCCTGCCTCAGCCTCCCAAGTAGCTGGGACTACAGGCGCCCACCACCTCGCCCGGCTAGTTTTTTGTATTTTTTAGTAGAGACGGGGTTTCACCGTGTTAGCCAGGATGGTCTCGATCTCCTGACCTCGTGATCCGCCTGTCTCGGCCTCCCAAAGTGCTGGGATTACAGGCTTGAGCCACCGCGCCCGGCCCATTTTTATTTTTTTATAATCCTAGGATGATCTCCCTGGCTTCTGGCCATTTGCCTGGACTCTGGGCTTCGTGCATTGTGGACTCTCCTGTTCTAGGCCTGGCATCAGGCCTCCCACCCTTTCTGAACCTGTGTGACACCATGCAGGTTTGCCTCACGTGGCTTACCAGGACTTGCTTCTGAGCCTCTGTGCTCCGATCCTTGGTACCTTCCCGAGTTGTCTGAATTGTTTTCAACTTCCCCACTCTGCTGTCTCCTGAGCTCCGGTGGGAGGTTCACTGGGCTCCTGAGCTTGTTCTCACAGAAGTATGCACGTTGCTTAGGGTGCTGTCCACAGATGGAGGCACAGCTGATGCAGTCCCTCAGGAGATGGTCATAGAACCTGCCTTGCTCCTTGCAGCAGCTGAGTGACCCTGGGAGACAGAAGTGCGTGATACTACCAGATAACACAGACTGGCAGGAGCTCTGGGTTTGGCCATATCAAAGTAAAAAAGAAATTATGGTTAAATTCCCAAAAAGCAATCCCTTAAGCCAAGTACTTTTACAATATACACATTGAAGACTATGCATTGTCCTCTAAGTACTATTTTAGCTGCATTGCATTTTGATGTATTTTTCCTATGTCTAGTTCAAAATGTACTTATTTTTCATTATTATTTCTTCTTTGACCTATGGGTTATTTACAAGTGCATTTCTTAGTTTCCAAACATATGAAGATTTTTCAGTTATCATTTAAAATTGAGATTTAGATTACATTGTTACATAAGATCTTTACTTGCATTTTTCAAGCCTCATCAAGGAGAAATATATTTCAAATCAGCCTAAGGAATGAAGGAGAAAAGCCAGAATCCTCTTTAGCAAGTTGGGGCAGTGGGCTGGAAGGAAGGTGGAAAAGTTCACATGAATAGTGTTTCTTCTCTCTTAATGCTAAATGAGAACTACAGCAGCTTACACAAGTATCAGTGCCAAGGCGCAGAAGCCAAGGAAACTAAAGCCCAAACACACTTGCCTTAAGAGAGCACAGCGGACCCAACTTTGAACAGAAATCTATTTAGGACAATCAATTACCTTATCCAACGCCTCAGAATATTTCTACATGAAAGTTTTTATGGAAAACAGGCAAGTTTCCTTTGTCTTTAGAATAAGGTATTTATGTGAAAATATGGCTCACAGAGATATTTTAAGGATACATTTCAGAGGCAGTGCAGGATAGTGGATAAGAACCCAAATTTCAGAGCCTTCCTCGGCTGTACCACTTGTAGGCAGTGTGGTCACAGCCTCTCTGTGCCTCGGTTTCCTCATTTCCAATATAGAGAAAATAACAGTACTGACTTCTTAAGGTTATTGGCAGAGCTGAAGTGCCCAGCACAATGCCTGGCATATACTAAATAAATGCTCACTTAATGGAAGGCTTGAGTAGAATAGTCATTTGAGCCTCTTCACAAAGTAAATACACACCTGTCCTTGTGTATTTGACAGAGTAAAGGAAGGACCTAAAAGATGACGGAGTTGGAATCTGGAGGAAAACTCATATGGCCCACATGGGGCCGTCCCCTGCTCTGGCCCTGCCGTATCCCCAGAGCTCCAGTGAACTGTACAGGAACTGATACCTCCACTCCTGGCACAGAGTCAACCCAGCAGTGCTGTCCTTGGGGCTTTCTGTGACCTCCTCCCCTCCTCAGTGGTCCCAGCATGGTTGTTGCAGGTAGTGCCTGAGCGCCCCAGACCACTGACCCTCCCTGCCTGACCTCACACCCCACCCCGCCCCCACCCAGGACTCAGTCTTCCCCGCTGCATTTCCCACCTCTGCTCACGCTGCCCTCTCTTCCAGGCACTCTTCCCCCTCATCTGATTTCTGCATTCTGTGGCCTCTTAACAATCTGCCTCTGATGGTTCGTCCTTCAGGGACACCTCCCTACCCCCCCACCCCCAGCTGAAGGTGGTCTCTCCTGACTGTGGCCTTTTTTTTTGTTTTTGAGATGGAGTTTCACTCTTGTTGCCCAGGCTGGAGTGCAATGGCATGATCTCAGCTCACCGCAACCTCCGTCTCCTGGGTTCAAGAGATTCTCCTGCCTCAGCCTCCCCAGTAGCTGGGATTATAGGCACCCGCCACCGTGCCCAGCTAATTTTGTATTCTATTTTTATTTTTTTAGTAGAGACAGTTTCTCCTTGTTGGTCAGGATGGTCTCGAACTTCCGACCTCAGATGATCTGCCCGCTTTGGCCTCCTGAAGTGCTGGGATTACAGGCATGAGCCACCGCACCCAGCCCCGACTGTGGCTTTCTACCTTGACATGTAGTCATTTCTCCCATAAGAAGACACTGTCCTTGAAGGGCCAAGCCAGATTCCTATTTCCTGGGGGCTGGAGCACTCCATCTATGTTTGTAGGATGAACCAATACGAACGTTCTAATTTATTAATGGGTAATGGTTCAGGGCATGATTTAGGAGTCAGAGTCCTGGGTTCAAACTCTGACATCTCTGCTTTTAAGCTGTGTGATCCTGGGTAAGTCACTCAGCCTCTCTGAGTTCCCCTCAACAAGTATTCATGAAGGACCGAACTATGTGTCAGGCACTGTGCTAGGCTCAAGTCAGACATGGTTCCTGCTCCCAGGGAGCTCCCAGTCTAGTGATTGAGTCAGACGTGAAAGAACAAAACAGCAAACAGTGGCAAGTTCTACCAAGGAAAAGAACAGGTTATGAAAAAGAACAGCAAGCAATGGATAATTTTCAAGACAATCAGGGAAAATTGGATCTGGCCTGAATATTAGATGATGTTAATAAATGATTGCTGGCAGTAGCAGGATATTTGGGTTGTTTTACAGATCTTTATGGTCCAGTATCTGCAGGTAAAATGATATGCGGTCTTGGGCTTTGCTTTAAAATACACAAGCCAAAACAACTGGTTGGGAAAGTATGAGGCAAATTTAAATGATCTGTGAATCATTTAATGGGTGCAGAGGGCATCACTGTGCTGTCCTCTCTATGTATACGTGTGGTAAGTTCTGTAATTAAAAGTTTCAACAGAAAGTAACACTAGCAGTACAAAGGAGGGCCCAGTACTACTGTGTGGTCAGAGAGGAGACCCCGGATGTTTGGGCTGAGACCTGAAAGTTGGGTACGAGGGAGCCGAGGGAAGATGATAGAGGGAATGCATGCCAGGCAGCAGGAACAGCACGTGCAAAGGACCGGAGGCAGGAAAGAACATGGCATGTTTGACACTGAAAGGAGGCAGTGTGGCCAGAGCGGGAAGGTGGAGGGGTAAGAGGTGCCACACTGTACATCTCCTGCCACCCTCTCCTCAGCCACCTGACTGTGGGGCCAGAGGGTGCTCTGGGGGCAGGCGTGGCGGGTGATCACACTGTCCCCTGGGCTCAGGTCCCAGAACTCACTGCAGGAGGCTGCACAGGTGCGCTGGCTCTGATGGTTGCACATGGCTTTGCAGGACATGCAGTTGCCCAGTAAGGGGATCCCAGTACTGCTCTTCGAGGCAGGATCCCATAGCCAGCCCTGTTCACAGGCCCTGTGGAGCTGAGCGACCAGGAGCGTGAGGGCAGCTGGCAGGTGGTCGCAGCCCAGCCTCTTGCTGTCCACATTCCCGTAGACATAAGCGCTGTCTCAGGAGCAGAGAGGGCAGACAAAGCTGGCTTCCAACTCCCACTGTGCTGGCTGGAGGCCTAGGGCAGCCACGTCCCCTCTCCAGCCTCAGTTTCCCCATCTGCACATGGTTGTTTTCAGGCCCCCTGCTCTCTCACATCAGCAGGGCCCTGCTCCTTGCCCCCCTTAACGTGCCATGCCTCTCCCTGCCACAGGATCTTTGCACATGCTGTTCCCTTGCATGACGTGCCCTTCTCCCCAGCCCCTGCCCCTTAGCTGCTTATTCCTCCTCAGCCTGAGACCTCTGTCTAAACCCGATCTCCCGGGGAAGCCTTTCTGACTCCCCCTAGAGTAGGACGCAGTCCTTCTTCCGCACACTCGCACTGCCCTTTACTTGCTGCTGTGGTCACTTTCCTCTTCTATGCATGTGGTTATTTGATGCTGGCTCCTGTACTAACTGTGAGCACTATCTGGCAAGGACTGTGCCTAATTTTTGTTGTTCATTGCTGAGTCCTCAGAACCTAGATAGTGCTTAGGATATAGTAGGCGCTCATAGCATGAATGGTTTTTTAAAAGCAGACCAAGTCAGTGCCTAGCACACAGCAAGAACCAAGAAAGGTCCATTTCCTTCTTTACTGAAGTGTGAAACCACCACAATGATGTGTGTAAAGTGCACAAAAAGCGGAAGAATGCAGCTTGGTGACATTTGATGTATGGATGCACCTGTGTCATTACAGCCACATTGAGATGAAGAACATTTCCTGCACCCCTGAAGACTCCCTGGGGTCCCCTCCCACCCAATGCCCACTCCTAGAGGTGGCTCCTGTTCTGTTGTTACCCCCATAGGCTAATATTGCCCCTTCTGGAACTTCCATGTCTGGTCTTGTCCCTCCACTTGGTGCCTGAGACTCATCCATGTGGGCGCTCTCCGCCTGTCTGGTTTTGTGTTACTGTGAGTCTTCCACTGTGTGCAAGCATCACCTTCTCTATCCTTTTCTCATTTCATGACATTTGCTTCCCCCAACAACTTTGTAAACATGTTTAAAAGCATTTTGCAAGACATGTGTTTGTCCTTTAATGAAAGCAAGCCGAGGGAAGACCAGAGGTGGCTGGGCACCATGGCTCATGCCTGTAATCTTAGCACTTTGGGAGGTTGAGGTGGGAGAATTCCTTGAGGCCAGGAGTTCAAGACCAGCCTGGGCAACATAGTGAGATCCTGCCTCTACAGAAAGATTTTAGAAACTGGCCAGGTGCTATAGTCCCAGGTATTCAGGAGGCTGAGGCAGGAGGATTGCTTGAGCCTGAGTGCTCAAGGCTGAGGTGAGCTACGACCACATCACTGCACTCCAGCCTGGATAACAGAGCGAGACCCAGTCTTTAAAAAAGAAAAAGAAAAAAGACCAGGTGCCTCTCATTTAACACGGCCGTGTAAACACAGGGGTTTATCTTCCTTCCCTCCTGAAACCATCCTAAATGACAGTCAAGTGCATTTGCTTCAGAGATAAAGGGGATAGCAGAGGTTTCTACAGCAGGGAGATGGAAGGACTGGAGTGCCTGATTGCTCTGAAGATCTCTCATTGTTGATGCCCACAGGGGAAGGAAATTGTTTTGAGTCACAAAACTCAAGGAAGTCTTCAGAATTGGAGGCACCAAGTATCTCTGACAGCAGGGCCTGGGCAGAAGGCGTGAAGCTCTGAAACAGCATTGGTTGGAAACTTACATAAAGAGGGCGTGACCCCAGCACATCCCCATTCCAAGGCAGGCGCCAGTCCGTCACCCACCCGGGCATAAGAGTGGGGTCTCCTTGGACACAGCTGAGGGTAGAAACGTGGTCCTTCCTGGCAACAGGGGGACTGTGAGAATCTTCCTCTTGGATGGTCAGTCTCCCCTCTCCTCACTCACCCCAGCCCCTACCCTAAGGAGTGCGGCAACCAGGTTTTCTTTTTTTTTTTTGGAGACGGCCTGCTCCGTCCAGCCCAGGCTGGAAGTGCTGGCCGGATCTCAGCCCAGCTGCAAAGCTCTGTCCATCTCCGGGTTTACGCTTCTCCCCACTGCCTCAGCCTCCTGATAGCTGGACTACAGGCGCCCGCACCCTCCGCCCGGCTTAGTTTTGTATTTTTAGAAAAAGACAAGGGAACAACAGAATCGCCAGGATCGGTCCGATCCCTGACCCTCGTGATCCGCCCGTCTCCGGCCTCCCAAACCGAGGGCTGGAATCAGGCCTTGAGCCCCGCCGCCCGCAACAACCAAGGTTTGAAAGACACCTCCTCCCTACCCCTGCACTGGCAGGAACATCACAAGCACTGGAAAACAGACCCAAGAAAAGACCCCAGAGGCACTCGCCGCTGGAGATATCTGGAAATCGCCAAGGTCCCTGCCTGATCCCTGCTGGAGACCTCCATCATGACCCATCGGCTTACCCAGCAACTTCCCCAGGCGGCTGTCGTAACCTTCAGACTGAACTGGTGAACCATGGCCAGGTCTGTATGGGAAGCACACCGCCCTAGCAGCGATGCAACCAGAACAAATAGAAGCAAACACCGAACCACGAAGAATGCAGGAACAGAAGCGCATTTTAAAACAGCAGCAGCCAACAGTTGGAAGTCCAGACTTGTAAGAGAGGACTGTGGTAATCTATGAAACAAAACAGTGAAAGGTTTTGTAAAGAAACATTCGTAAAACGAATGAGAATATTAGAAATTATTTTTGTATTTTTATTTTTTTTCTGTTTTGAAGACGGAAGTCCTGGCTCTGTCGCCCCAACGGCTGGAGTCCAGTGGCCGGATCTCAGCTCACTGCAGCTCCGCCCGGCTTTATGCCATGTCTCCGCCTGCAAAGCCTTCCCGAGTAGCTGGGACACAGGCCCCGCCACGCCTCGCCCGGACTAGTTTTGTATTTTTTTAGTAAGAGACGGGGTTTCACCGGGTCGCCAGGATGGCTCGATCCTCCTGACCGCCGCGTGATCGCTCACCGTTCGGTCCCAAAGTGCTGGGATTACAGGCTTGAGCCACCGCGCCCGGCCTAGAAATTATTTTATAGTCAGAATAAAAACATCAGTAGAAAGGCTGAAAGATGTAATCGAATAAATTGTCCAGAAAATAGGAGACAAAAGATACAAAATTATGGAATCATTTCAGGAGCTCCAAAGGTTGGCTAATGATTTGAAGGACATTGGCTTCCAGATTGAAAGAGTCAATCAAGCATCAGTGCAATACGGTCTCACAAAGTAGGATACATCATCATGCAATTTAGAAGCACGTAACCCCAGCACTGTGGGAGGCCGAGGTGGGAGGCTCACAAAGTCAAGAGATTGAGACCATCCTGGCCAACATGGTGAAACCCCGTCTCTACTAAAAATACAAAAAATCAGCTGGGCGTAGTGGCAGGTGCCTGTAATCCCAGCTACTCAGGAGGCTGAGGCAAGAGAATCGCTTGAACCCGGGAGGCAGAGGTTGTAGTGAGCTGAGATCGCACCTCTGCACTCTAGCCCGGGCGACAGAGTGAGACTCTGTCCCAAAAAAAGAAGAAAAAAAGAAAAAGTGTTCAGTCTCCTCAGCCAAAGGAAAAACGCAAATCAAACCACGGTGAGACACTACTACACATTACCCACATGACCTTCAGTAAAAAGACTAACACACTACCAGGTATTGATGAGAAAGCAGAGAAATCGACCTCTCATAAATTGCTGAAAAGACATGAATTATACAGATACTTCAGTCATCTGTTTGGTACTATCCTGGAATGTATGCATACCCTATAGCCCAGGAATTTCATTCCTAAGTATGTAACCAACAGGAACGAGCACATATGTGTTTCAAGAGACAGCCACAAGAACATAACAGCGCTATTCACCTTAGCCCCAAACTGTACATGGCTCAACTGTCCATTAATGACGGAATGGATAAACAAAGTTATAATCATACAATGGCTTACTAAATGGTGAAGAAAACGAACAGATTACGGTACATGCAACAACATGGATACATCTCCCTAAATAATGTGTAAAAAAAGCTAGATGTAAATATTACATAGTTTTAAAATTCCATTTGTAATAAAACTCAGATGTAAGGAGAAGGAACATAATATTTAGGGCTGCATAGTTTTGTAAAGATCTGTTACGGGGAAGAATTGCGAGGACAACGGTTATCTTAGGGAGTAGTGAGGGTTGCGATGGGAACACCTGGGAGAGGTCTGGGGGAGCTGGCGCTGCTTCTTTTCTGGACGGGAGTGGTGACTGCATGACTTTTCACGTTCTGATCATTCAAGAAACCACCATTCACATTTTGGTCACTTTTATCTTTGTGTACGGTATTTCACAAAAAGGCTTAAACGTATAAGGTATCAATTCCTTATCTTTTATAGAAAAAAAAAATAAAAACTTGCTCTTCGGTGCTCTCATAATATTTAACCTTGTCTTTTACTTAAAGACCTCCAGGAACTGGCCTTAGGAGAGCCAATATATCCAAACAAGGTCGTGAGTGTCCCACCTCAAGAAGGAAAACTGAACAACTGGTTCGTACAGCCTTGCTGCCACTGGTCCGAGCACCAGGTGGCCCATGACTCAAGACAGCCGCCGCCAGCAGACATGGTGACCTGCAGCTCCCCACCTCACGTGCTCTACACAGCCCAGCCCACATTCCCTACCTTGATATCAATTCCTGCATTTTGCCTAATAAAAAAATCCCTACGCATGTTCTCACTTATAGGTGGGAGCTAAATGATGAGAACACACGGACACGTAGAGGGGAATAACAGACACCAGGGCCTACCTGACGCTGGAGGGTGGGAGAAGGCAAAGAACCAAGAAAAATAATCAGTACTGGGCTTAATACCGGGGTGATGAAATAATCTGTACAACAAACCTCCGTGACATGAATGTACCTGTATGACAAACCTGCACATGTACCCCTGAACTGAATTTTTTTTTTTTTTTTGAGACGGGAGTCTCGCTCTGTCACCCAGGCTGGAGTACAGTGGCGCGATCTTGGCTCATTGCGAGCTCCACCTCCCGGATTCACGCCATTCTCCTGCCTCAGCCTCCCGAGCAGCTGGGATTACAGGCGTCCGCCACCAAGCCCGGCTAGTTTTTTGTATTTTTAGTAGAGACGGGGGTTCCCCATGTTGGCCAGGATGGTCTCGATCTCCTGACCTCGTGATCCGCCCGCCTTGGCCTCCCAAAGTGCTGGGATTACAGGCGTGAGCCACTGCGCCCGGCCCGAAAAGTTTTTAAAAAGGGAAGATGATGAATATAGAAACTCATTCTATTTTGTGTACAGTGATAAAATAAAACGTGGCTATAATTTGAGGTTCTAGATGATGTAATCTTCCCCCAGAGTATTCATTTCTGATTCCAGAAGACAGTTAAGATAGGAGAAGATCATCAAATCCAAAGCCCATGTTTCCATGGGTTTTAAGCCTGAACAAATAAAAGGTTTCTTACAGATGCTAAGGAAGAATATTTTAATAAACGAATGGCTAGAAAGACATTTTAAAGAAGGAAACAAAACACTTAAAATCATAAAGAAAAACACAACACAGAAAGGCAGCATTTCTCTTCAGTAAAATACAACCATAAACAGAGTTAAAAGATGACTAATAAATAATAGCACTACATATGAAAAAACGTGAAAAAGCACAATATATCAAGATTTCTTATAAACAGGAAAAAGACTAACACCTCAAAAGAAATACAAGCCAAGTATATGAGTCTCCATAGACACATACAAAAGATAGACAAATTGCCTCTAAACATATGAAGAAGTGCTCATATGATGAGCATTTACTGATGAACAAAGCAAAACAAGTTACATTGTTCATTTACTTAATCTTTAAGATTCTTTATAGAGTGTGAAAGTTCTGGGAAAACAGTACTGTGCATGCTGTGAGTGGGAGGGCAAACTGAAGGGCAATGTGTCTACCACGTTTTTCAATGCGCTGGGACAGGTCACATCCACTTCCTTTTCTAGGACTCCATTTTCCTTTTCTAGAAATCAATGTGTGGAAGATCTCAGGACAGGTTCACTCGACTCCATCCTCGTCTCTTTGTAGGGTGACTCTTACTGAATCATAAGAGACCAGGATGTATTTGTCTAAAGGGTGTATTTGCCAAGGTCTTTAAAGCTTGGCTCATCAAGTGGCCTAGTTTCTGTCCAAGAGACCTCCTCTTAGAGGATCTGGAATGTGCAAGGGAGCCTAAGGCTGTCCTCCTGCAGCGTCTCCTGGCAAGCACGGCTGGAAAGGGATTTGCTATTCTGTGGCAGGGGAGCAGAGGTTCCGGGGTCTGCTTCGTCATCATCTGGGCAATGTGAGGCAGGCACAGAGCCTGCTTTGCTGGTACGGACTGCACCTGTGGCCGTATGATCCCGAGGCTGATCCTGTATCTTGGCAGCAGTGGTGGTCCTGAGCAAGCACCTACAGAAAGACTTCCTGATTCTGGCAGAAACGGAAGGTCTTTTAATGGGTCAGCATTGAGATGCTCTGGGACCCCTTCCTGGAGGCTCAGTGGAGCCTACAGCCTTCTCCAGCCCTTCTAGTACAAAATGCCCTGGATTAAATTCCTTTCTGCTTAATGACAGTGATCTCTGATATTTGCAAATGAATCCTGACATACCCTTACATAGAAAGAGCCCCTTTAATGGTCAAAAATTTGTACAAGGATCTTCCCTGTATTGTTTTTGTAATAAGTTAAATCCAAAACAACCTAAATGTCTATCAGTAGAATAGTGGCTAAATAAATCACCACGTATTACGTAACCTTCTTTAAACAATGAATCGTTTCTCCAAATATTGAAATCTGAAGATGTCTTGGATGTATTTTTTCATTCATTCAACAAATATTTATTGAGCTTCTACTGTGATGTGACCATGTGCCAGCCACTGTTATACAGACAAGAGCTATAACAGCAAGCACAACAAACAGAAATCTCTGCCCTCACAGAGCTTACGTTCCAACGACAAAGTGAAATGGATGTCAGAATAAACGCACAGTGTAATCAAATTTACAAAACACACACACTCTCTCTCCACACTCACTAATATGTGTAAAGAAAAACATCTAGAGGAATACACAGTAAACCACAAGCAGTGGTTATTTCTGAGGCTCATCTATCCGACTGCAGAGACAGCAGCTGCTGGTGAGGTCCTCACTGGTTGGTATCCCACTCTGGGGGATTCTAACAGTCTTATGGACAGAAATATTCAGTCCAGCTCCACTTGCCAAGAAAAGAGATGGGAACATTTATATGTTGATCTAGTCCAAAAGAGCAAATAATACTTCTTGATTTGTTGTTACGTTTTTGGTGACTTAAGAAGTATCCCATGATGTTTAGTGTAACATTTACTCTATTATCCTTCTCTCCTCTGGACTAAAGCTGAATTGCAGAAATGAGAGGACAGGAGGAGTCAGCTGAGTG